TTGGGTCTGTAACTGCTCACTTCCTCTAGATTGTCCTTCAACTTCTAGGACTCCTGAGCCAGGTAGTGAATGTTTAGCTTCCATGACAAGGCACCTTGGCTTTGCCAGGTCTATGTATCATCAAATTCAGAGAAAACAAGAACTGACATGGATTTCAATCTGTCCTCATGGTCTCCAGCTCATGCGTGTGTGTTACAACTTGTTTTTGCTCCCCTAGACTTTTACATTCCTCTTCCTTCCCTGACAGCCTGTAGACTTTAGGCTCCAGCATCAAACAGAAGACAACAGTCTTATAGAAAGTGCTTAACTCTACAGTCACCTAAGGTAAAATCCCCATAGCGAATAAACGCACACACACACACACACATTGAATCTCTGATTGAACATCAATTGATAAATTAGGTTAAAGACAACATTAGTTTATAGGGTTTCTAACACAGGATGAAGTAACTTTGTAGAAAGTCATGGTTTCATCCCTTCCTGGAGCCAATCTTAATGATCTCTCCTAGGAATTTTTCTAAACTACGGGCCTATTCTTTTCTTTCTTATTTTGTTTTTTTCCTGTCTCACCTTTTGGATGAATGTGCTCTATGGATTAGCACCCGTAGATTAAGGTTAGTCCTAGAATTTTCTCTCTTGCTTTCCAGGGCTGTGTGCCAAGAGTTGTTCCATGGCTTGTTGACTAAAATTAGGTGACCTTTATGTGTTCTTCTCATATGATTGATGTAAGCAGGTTCAAACCCACCAACTACTCCTCGGAAGGAAGATGGGACCATCTACTTCCGTAGTGATACTGCCCCGGAAACCCAAGGAGGGGTCTCTATGAGTTGGGTCCGACTTGACGGCATTTAACAACAACAACAACAACATCCTGCTGTTACTGGGTCTTTCCAGACTGAAGGATTTTAATATCTACTTGAGGCATTCTATCTGACTCTTTGTTTTTTGCCCCTGTATGGAGATCTTCCAAAGCCCTTGTGTCCTCCTTAAGCTATTAATATTAGAGCTATCTTCAGTTCCTGGGGCAGTCATCCACCAGGGTTTAGCTGTTGTAGGAGAAGCTAGATGTCATTTATACTTTATTTCCGACACTGTTCAGCACCTAGTTAGTTTCAGTGCCTATCTACAGTACGTCTGGCTGGTGTGTTTGGGTATAACCCACAAAGTAACATCATTAACAGCCTAGATCCATTAGCATATTATATGTATATAGCTGCATAACATTTTGAGATAATAATTGAGGTTTTATTTTTTCTTCCTAGCATTTCCCCTTTGTCATTCTCTCATTCAAGCAGCCCTTTGGTTCTTCCTCATGGGTCTGGTGGAATGATGAAGCAGGGTGGAAAATTTCATGAATGACCCAAGTTAAGGCCTGGTGTAGTGGTACTCAGAGTCAGAAACCAAATGCAATTACAGAAAAAAAAAAAAAAATCAAACTGACTGCTGTCGAGTCGATTTGATTCAGAGCGACCCATTGTTGGGTTTTCGAGGTGGTATCTCTATGGAAGTAGATTGCCCAATTTTCCTTCCTAGATGTGGTTGGTGGGTTTGAACCACCAGCCTTCTGGTTAGCAGTCAGATGCCTTAGGCATTAAGCCACCAGAGCTCCCTAAATGCAGAAAACAGTTTTAATTTTATACTCATGGATATGTGCTCATATCATTTCAACTGCATGTCTAATTTGTAATACAGATGCTCTCCTCCTACTTTCATTACCTACTCATTTTTGAAATCTCCCTGCAGCTTATTTCAAGGCCAGAGACACTACTTCACTCAGTCAGAGGGCACAGGAGAAAGAAAAGCAGGTGCTCTGGCACCTCCATTAACACAACCCATTTATTGCCTATTCTGTACAAATCCGTCCTGGAAGAAATGCAGCAAGAATGCTCCTGAGATGTGAGAATGGCCAGACTTCACCTCACCTACTTTGGTCATGTTGTCACAAGAGACCAGTCACTGGAGAAGGATTTGACTGTTAACCAGAAGGGTGGAGGTTCAAACCCACCAGCCACTACCTTGGAAGGAAGACTGGGCAATCTATTTCTGTAGAGATATGACCTTGGAAACCCAAGGAGGAGTCACTGTGAGTCAGAACCGACTCAGCAACAGTGAGTTTGGTTTAGTTTTTTTTTGTTTTTTAAGTAGAGGGTTAGCTTAAAAGGAGAAGACACTCAATGAGTTGGATTGACACAGTGGCTGCAATGAGGGGCTCAAACATACAAACATATCCAGGATTGTGAGGATGGCATAGGACCAGGCAATGTTTTATTCTGTTGTACATAGGGTCACCATGAGTTGGAACCAACTCGATGGTGCCTAACAACAACAACAGCATGTGCTAGACCCTGGTAGTGTAGACTTGGATTTGACAATGCCCTTCCCTCAAGGAAATTATAGTCCAAAGTACAGGGAAATAATTCACTCAATAAGCAATACAAAGTTGGCAACTCCCATAAGAGAATTTTCTGGGCAGCATTAAGACCAACTTTGTTGAGGGAGGAGGAAGAATATCCCCAGTGAGGGGCCCATTCATCTTTACTCTTTTTTTTTGCCTGTCCTCTTACCCATGGTAAACTGTTTTCTCTATTTTTATGGTGGCTGGATTTGGGAAATTGCCTTTTGTATGAAAAAGTGTTAGACTTGTTTCTGTTCCTCATCTGTAAAATTATAAGACCAGATTTGATAATTAGTATAATTTCTTCATTTTTTAAATTCTGAATTGATGTAAATCCCTAACTAAGCAATTGAGGCTTCTTAGCTTTGCTCATATTTCCTCATGGAAGAACTCAGGTAGGCGAACAGGCCTAATAGCCTGACCTCTCTGAACTCCTGGACATCATTATCTGTGTGCCCCTTTAGTGCTTAGCATGGATTACCTTGTATTATATTAATCAGTAGAGTGTGAGCTCCTGATTGGCAATTAAGGGGTCTGGTTAATCTTTCTCCTTGGTGCCTGCCATTCCATGGTCTAAGTCAATGTTGCTCAAAATGGCTGGCTTCAGTATCACCTGGTGAGCTTTAAAACCTAAGTAACTGTGCAATAAACAAATAAAACAGACTTTAAGACCTTGTACCCAGGTTTTCAGATTCAGGAGGTCTGGACTGGGTGACGCAAATGATTAACCAGAACTTTGGCTGTTTGAACGTACCCACAGATCCTCTGGTAGTGGACCCTCTGGTAGAGGAGCTCTGGTAGTGCAGTACCTAAGGCATTTGACTGCTAACCAGAAGGTTGGTGGTTCAAATCCACCAGCTTGTCCGGGGAAGGAATTGACTCGATGGCACTGGGTTTGTTTTTTGTTTAGAGATCCTCAGAAGACAAATTTGGTGATCTTTTTCTGAAAGGTCACAGCCTGGAAAAGCATACGGAGTAGTTCTACTCTGCACACATGGGGTTGCCTTGAATCAAAATTGACTCAACAGCAACTAACAACAACAGGCTGGGGGCAAGCAATCTATAAGTAAAAAAATATATTTCCTGGGAGATTCTGATGATCAGGTAAGTTTGGTCTCAACTGAATTGAAACACTATGTATGTATGCGCATGTGTGTGTGTGTTTATATTTAGTCTTCTCACCGAGATTGTAAGTGCCTATCTGACTGCCTTTCTTCATTTTGCCTATTAAGTTCCAGATGCCAGATGAGAACTCTGATGTCACAGAGTTCACACTGCAGTGAGGGCAAAATCATAGAATATAACTCTTTGTCTCTTCAATGCCTAGTCCCTTATCTTCCCACTCCCGCTGTATGCTCCTCTCTGTAGCCAGTACACAGTAGGTGCTTGGTAATTGCTTTACTGATCATGACTGAGAAACTCAGCTTTCAGTGTGTCTAACATATATTGCAGCCTACCAGCTTGGCTGATATAGAAGTAAGACTGGCTCATAATCCTCTCTGTGGTCCTCTTTATTATGTGCCAGTCTTGCTGACAATTCCACAGGCCTTCCTGTTACACCTTGAGTGACTTCAGTATTTTCTGGATGATTGATTGTCTTTCAGCAGTACTTTCATAGCTGAGGAAATGGACTTAGAAAGTAACTTTCCCATTATTACCAAGCTGTAGTGGTAGAGTCACCATGAGTCAAAATCAACTCATTTGACAGCAAAGCGTTTTTGTTTTTTGGCTTAGTGGTACAGTTGTGATTTGATCTCAAGTCCATAAAATGGATTTGACTCCTTATTAATATCTGACTCATAAACCAAAGTTAATGTCTTAAAATAATCCATAGAATTAATAATATCTATTACCACAATAATAGGAACCAGATAGGCTGAATAAATTATTGCCCAAATTAACTTTTTCAAAGTAATTTTTTTTGTTGTTGTTGGATCAAAGGAAGCATTTGTAGAAAAAATAGAAAGAGGATATTATTCATTTAATCTTTTTGCTCCTCCCTCCCAAAACACACACAATTTTTATTATATCATCTTGGAACTCTGATTTTAATTTAACATACATAAAGAAATCATGGCAAGCGAAGGCAGGCTCAAAAGACTAGTTGTAAGTAACTCAAACAAATCAGCAATACACATCTAATAAAAATTAATTATGATACAAAAATAATTCTCTTCCCATAAATCTTGAAAACAAGAATTGGTCTTAGTTTCACACTTCTAATGTTCTGTCTCCTTTGAATTACGTGAACTTCCAAAAGATATAAACATCTCTATGTACAAAGAAGCAGCATGGCAGTGTGAGTGACTATACACCTTTCACAATTTTAACGAGAAATTGTGAAAAATTTACTTTGAATCTGCTTTTAAGTCCTCAAGAGAAGGTAATTTGAAAGATTTATGAATCTAAGTGTTCAAACAATTTTTTATTCAAAAACAATTTAAAATTCTAAAGTGAGCAAAGCCAGTTGAGAAAGACAAGGAATAACCCTGTCCTCCCTCAGCTATGTAAGTTGGGAAGATGGCAGGAATTGGCAGCTCCCAGCAGAGAAGGAGTTTAGTGTTGGCCCACATGCTATAGAGTTAGAGCAGGTAGTCACAGAGGTTTAAACTGGTCCATCTCCCTAGAGGTGAGGGAAAAAAAATGAATTCTGATGTCATTCCCATTGTTTTCGTTTTGTTTTGCTCTCTTCTCCCCCTTTTTTCCCCTCCCCATGGTAATGTTTACCTCTTCACCCCCCGCCCCTTATTTGTTACCTTCCGAATGTTTTCTCTATTTTCTTAACTTTATTTCAGAGGTTACCTTTGCTTATGTTAAAGGAATTGAAGCTTCATTTTATTTTGCATCATTTATTATTAAAAATAATTTTGAGAAGAGGCACAGAGATACTAAGTGATGCATCTAAGGTCATAGCTAGTAAGTAAGTGAAGGGGCCAAGATTTGAATTCAAAAAGGTTGATCTCAGAGATTGTACTCCTTTCCTTGAAGCTATGCTGCCTCAATGATCTTCACACTCAGTAAATAATCAACTGCACCATTCACTGAGCCTTCTAATAGTTGAAATGGATGCTCATTTATCACTTTTTGTCAGGCACTTAGTGAGAAACTTTAGGAGTTAGGTATTACTAACCACATTTTAGATAAAGAAGTAGCTGAAGGCAAATGACTTGGCCAAGACCACAATGAGTTTCATATCTTGTATTTCAAAGCACGTTCTCATTTATTACCTCATTAAACACTTTGCCAGGCTCAAGGAAGCTCACAGTAAATATTTGTTGCCTGAATGAATGAATGCTGATTTGCACGTTCTCTGTGGGAGTTAGGCAAGAGGCAGTTGGGGTAATTGAAACTCTAAGAAGTTGGACAAATTGTTGTGGTCACTCAGCTAGTAAGTTGTGGAACTAGGCTGAGAGCCCAAGTCTCTCCACACGTCCTACTGGGTGAGGAATGCTGCCTGTCTGTATGAGAGGCAAGAAAGGAATCCTTATTAGATTGATTTTTAAAAAATGCAGCTCTCACACACACTGAAGTATTTTAGGAGTGAAATTTTGTGATGCCTGCAAAGTACCTTCCAATAGCTCACTGGGAACAGTAGGGGAGCAAAATATTAATGTTATGTGGATCTAGGTTAGAGTATACAGGTCCTCGTTGGACTGTTATTTCAAATTTTATGTAGGCTTGAAGTCTCCAAAATAAAATGTTGGGGAAGAAAACAAGGAAAAGAGAACGGAAAAGAAGGAGGGAGGGGAAGGGAGGAAGGAAGAGAGAAAGAAAGGCAGGGAGAGAGGGAAGGAGATTTACCCTCTGAGAGTTTCCAATCATCTCACACTGGCAACTGTGCAATCCATCTACTGTCTTTTAACTATCAAGTGACTCGGCAATTAAGATCACCAAAACATGGTGTTTTAATAAATGACACTCCTGAAAAGAGTCAAAGTCCTGGCCCCTATGGTATGTATTTAAATGGACAGATAATCCTCGGATTCAGTAAACTACTATCATCTGTTCAAAGAGTAGTCACATTTTCAATAAATCTTGCAAACATCATACACCACCCAGATAAAATCTATGACTCTCCCTTCCATGGCACACACACAAAGAAATAATAGCAGTGTCTGAAATGGCATAGCTTATTTTGCAAACATGAATTCATTTTGTAAGAATGACAAGATATAAATGCTCAATATTCTTAATGCCTATTATAAAAATAATATTGGCAGATGAGCTTTATTTCCCCCCCAATTGTGTTTAAATGCTAAAAAAAAAAAAAAAAAATAATCCTTGAGCATTATAGATTAAGAACTGTCTGTATGGGATCACATTCACAATAAAAAAAAAAAATAATAGAACACAATGAAATTGAAAGCTTGTTGTTGTTAGGTGCCGTCAAGTTGGCTCCAACTCATCGCCACCCTACGTATATCAGAACAAAACTCTGTCTGGTCCTGTGCCAGCTTCACAATCCTTGCTATACTTGAGCCCATCATTGCAGCCACTGCATCAATCAATCCATCTCATTCTGGGTTTTCCCTTTCTTCACTGACCCTCCACTTTACAAGCATGATATCTTTCTCCAGGGAATGACCCCTTCTGACAACATGACCAAAGTGGGTGAGATGAAAGCTGGCCATTATCACTTCCAAGTAGCATTCTGGCTGTAATTCTTCCAGGACAGATTTATTAGTTCTTCTGGCAGTCCATGTTACTTTCAGTACTCTTTGCCAACACCACAACTCAAAAGCATCAACTCTTTTTTGGTCTTCCTTATTCATTGTCCAGCTTTCACATGCATATGAGGCGATTGAAAATACCGTGGCTTGGGTCAAAGAGGCATCTTTGCTCTTCAACACTTTAAAGAGGTCTTTTGCATCAGGCCTGCCCAGTGCAATACGTTATTTAATTTCTTGGCTGCTGCTTCCATTGGTGTTGATTGTGGAAACAAGCAATATGAAATCCTTGACAACTTCAATCTTTACTCCATTTATCATGATGTTGCTTATTGGTCCAGTTGTGAGGATTTTCATTTCTTTATATCAAACAAACAAACAAACAAAAACTCAAATTCACAGTCGTTGAGTTGATTTGACTCATAGTGACTCCTCCTTGGGTTTCTGAGGCAGTATCTCTATGGAAGTAGATTGCCCAATCTTTCTTCTGAGGAGTGGCTGGTCGGTTTGAACCTCCAGGCTTCTGGTTAGCAGTCAAATGCCTTAGGCACTACGCTACCAGAGCTCTGGTTTCTTTATGTTGAGGTGTAATTCATACTGCAGACTGTACTCGTTAATCTTCATCAGTAAGTGCTTCAAATCATCTTGACTTTCAGCAAGGAAAGTTGTGTCATCTGCATATCACAGGTTGTTAAGGAGTCTTTATCCAATTCTGATTCTGTGTTATTCTTCATATGGTCCAAATTCTCAGATTATTTGCTTAGCATACAGATTGAATAAATATGGTGAAATGATACGACCCTCAGGCACTCCCTGCCTGATTTTAAACCATGCAGTGTCCCCTTGTTCTGTTTGAATGATAGCCTCCTGGTCTATGTACAGATTCCTCATGAGCTCAATTGAATGTGCTGGAATTACCATTTTTCTCAATGTTATCCATAATTTGTTATGACCCACACAGTCGAATGCTTTTGCATAGTCAATAAAACACAAGTAAACATCTTTCTAGTATTCTTTGCTTTCAGCCAAGATCCATCTTGACATCAGCAATAATATCCCTTATTCTGTGTCCTCTTATGAATCCAGCTTGCACTTCTGGAAGTTCTCTGTCAATATACAGCTGCAACTTCAAAATTTTTGCAATTATCTTCAGGAAGATTTTACTTGCGTGTGATATTAATGACATTGTTCAATAATTTTCGCATTCTGTGGGATCACCTTTCTTTGGAATGGGTACAAATATGGATCTCTTCCAGTCAGTTGGCCAGGCTATCTTCCAAATATCTTGGCATAGATCAGTGAGTGCCTCCAGTGTGGCATATGTTTGTTGAAACATCTCAATGGCTATTCTGTCAATTCCTGGAGATTTGTTTTTCACCAATTCCTTCAGTGCAACTTTGACTGCTTCCTTCAATACCATTGCTTCTTGATGATATGCCATCTCCTGAAATAAATGAACATCGAACAATTCTTTTTCAGACAATGACTCTGTATGTTCCTTCCATCTTCTTTTGAGGTTTCCGCATCATTCCATATTTTGCCCATTGTTGTTGTTGTTGTTGTTTGCCATCGAGTCGGCCCCGACTCATAGCGACCCCTCCTTGGGTTTCCGAGGCAGTATCACTACGGAAGTAGGATTGCCCAACCTTCC